TCACCCCCCAGGGGGGATGGTCACGCCGCAATCCCTTCTCCTCCATTCCCCTCTCAGGATCTTGGGCACGCACGCACATGCGCCTGGCGTGAGTTTTAAGCCACTGGGTCTGGGACGCGAACCGCGGTTGACTACGTGGGAGTCCAGCGACATAGCCATTACGCTAACTGCTGGTTCCCAACACGCAACATGAATTTCAAGCCACTGGGTCCAGGACTTGAGCTGTAGTCAGTCACATGGGAGTTCAACACTTAACCACTACACCACATGCTGGCCCCAATGTCTCTGCAGTTTTGCTGTTGTCCCACTGCCCGGACAGAACTGGCATCTAGGACAGTTGTGTAACTGACAGTGGTTAAATAAAGGAATGGGCTTCTGGTCTCTCAAGAAATGTGGAAAACTCAGCGTGTCCTGTAACCAGCATTTCTAGAGGCCTGGAAAGCTGGGCAGTTCAATAGCAGAATCTTCTCTCATCTCAGTTACTTTATTTGCACAATAAACAATGAGAAACTTGAGTCGTGGCCTTTGGGGCCACAGGAAGGTCAAAGCCACGGGGGCCGGCCCTCATGGGGAGCTGTGGTCAGCGTGTTGTGGGGATCGGTGCTGTTCTCCAGCCCATGTGGTGACCAGACTCGGGGTCTCTGTTGGTCCCCAGTTCCCCAGGTAAACAGGGCAGGTTACGACGTGGCTGGAAGCAAAGGAACACAGGACTAGGGTCCAGCCTGCGTCGGACCCTCGATACCTGCCACAGAGGGTGCTCAGAGCGAGCCTTCTGGGTTCTGTCCTGGCTCCCTGCAGTCCCCGCCCGGCTCCACCTTACCAAGCATCTGGTCAGCCGGACTGAGGCCTGCCCAGCTCCAGGGGCTCTGAGGCGGGTGAGGGGCAGTGAGAGCTCCCAGAGGCTGGACAGCACAGCCTCAGGTCCTGGTCCTGCTGCCGGGCCCATGTGGGCCAAGGCCCAGAGGAGGGACCGGCTCGGGCTCCTGGAGAGCCCCTTCCCCAGAGTGCTGCCCCCACGCCCCAGGAGGTCTGACTGAGGGTGTGTGTGGTTCCCCCCAGGGCAGTGGAGGAGGAAGCGGCTGTCGGGGCCACATACTGTGCGAGGCTGGATGACCTGCTGTCCCGCTCGGACTTCCTGCTGGTGGCCCTGAGCCTGACACCCCAGACCCGCGGGCTGATTGGCCGGAGGGAGCTGAGGCTGATGAAACCGACCGCCATTCTCATCAACATCAGCAGAGGTGCGCCCATGGCCTGCCCGGAGCCAGGGAGAGACCCGGGGCCTGATTGTGTTTCTGGGAGCCTGTTTCTGAATGGCTGCAGGGTCTGGACATGCCCCCTGGACTGGAGGCAGGAGAGTGAGGGAAGTTTATTCCGAGGCCCTCCTGGTCTTGTCTGTGTCACTTAGAAGGTCAGCCTAGTAGCAGAGGGGCAGGGATGCTGCAGGTGGGGCTTGCAAGTCCCAGCCTGGGCACCTAGGCCACGTGGTGTTTTGTCCTCAGTGCGATCATGCAGAACTGGCGAGGGCGGGCCCCTGGGCCCTCACTGTCAGAATGGCCCAGTGTGGCTTTGGCCGTTGGGCATGGGCTTCCTGCTCCGGAAGCAGGAGGTCAGTGCTGCTGCCAGGTCTCATGGTGAACTGCACGTGGCGTCTGAAGAGAAGCACGGTGAAGTCTTGTCTACATGGGTGTGACACACGCAGGCCAGGCCTGACGGCACGTCCAGCCATGCTCACCAGCTCAGGCTGGAGGATGAGCTGGGACAGACCAGCCCCCTGCACGCTGCCGAGCTCGGTTCTCACGTCTGCATGTAATGCCTGGGGCAAGGCAGGCTTGGCTCCCAGAGACACACTCCCTGGGGAGGCTTACCATAGCCACACGGCACGTGGGGTATGCCATGTCAGGACCCCGGAGCGTCAGCCCGGTACGGTCCACGGAGGGCAGTGCTCGGGGCCGTGGCCCTCACAGGTCTCGGCCTGACAGAAAGCGCTTTCTCAGTCTCTGCCACTGAGCAGCCCGTCCTGCTTTGCATTCGAAGTCATAATTATGCATCGTTCTTGTGTCTCTTTAGTTTTTATTTACTTATATATTTATGTTTCTGCTGTAGGGTGCATGCCCTCACCAGAGAGAGACAGAGAGAGGAAAAATGAAAAATCACTCCCCGATCTCTTCTCTCTCTCTCTCTTTTTTTTTTTTGGAGAGGTTTTTGCCATAGGGCACGTGCACTCTCTGGACAGACAGACAGAGATAGAGAGACAGAAAGCGAGAAATCACCCCCCAGGAGGGATGGCCACGCCACAACCCCTTCTCCTCCATTCTCTTCTCGGGATCTTGGGCACGCACGCACACGCGCCCAGCATGAGTTTTAAGCTACCGGGTTCCGGGACGCGAACCACGGTCTACTACGTGGGAGTCCAGCGACATAGCCATTACACTAACTGCTGGTCCCCCTCCTGTTTTGGTTATAAATGCACATACCAAACTGCTGTTTAGGAGCCCTCTCAGCTTAACCCCGTGCACGTGTCCCATGGCGTGAGTCAGGACCCAGGCGCTGGGAGCCGAGCACTTGGCCAGCGCGAACCACAGCCGCGTCCTTCCTGCAGGGTGAGCGCCAAGGGTTCAGGGGCTGCACATGCGGGCTTAGCTTTCTGTACCTCGTGGCTCAGACCTGGCTTCTATCAGACTGGGCTACGTGGCACTCGCCGGTCCCCTTCAGACTTCAGATGTGTCAATGGGACGGAGCTGAGACGTGTGAGGAGTAGCTAGTGTGGCCACAGCTGCCTTGTGCTGTCCAGTGGGGATGAAGCCATGTCTCTGGTGCAGGCCTGGTGGTCGATCAGGACGCTCTGGTGGAAGCTCTGCAGACCGGGGTCATTGCAGCTGCGGCGCTGGACGTGACGTTCCCGGAGCCTCTGCCAAGGTGAGCAGGCCAACGCAGTCAGCATCTCCTCCCTCTGCACGGTAGGGGCGTTGCGTGTCCTGGAGAGGCCGGGCCCAGACATGGGAGCAGGCACCTTGGTGGCGTCCACCTCCAACTCCTCGAGACCCTGGGCATGTGCACCAGCGTGTTCAGGTCAGCCAGGGATCCGCGCCCCTCCGGCCACGTGGCTTCTGGCCACCGGGCGTGTGCGCTGCAGTTTCACAGATCCTTCTGATAACGAGGCACAGTCCTCGACACTGGCCACGGTCAGCCTTGCAGCCCTGCTGAGCCATGCAGCCATAGGGTCTCGGCCTCGCAGAGCCTGAAAGGCCTGGAGACCTGTCCCCTGGGGGCAGAGGCTCTTCTGCAGGTTGTCCGGCACTCCCATGGATGGGGCTCAGCACATTCCAGGCACCGCCCCATGGCTGAGAGTCATTGTGCTGTCCTGGTGGGCCATACCGCCCTCCTGCACTGTGGTCCCTGGCCTGCCCTCTGCAGCACTAGTGTGGGCTCTTGCTCTCGCTCGCTCTTTCTTTTAGTTTGCTATAGAGCTCATGCACTAGCCAGAGAGAAATAGAAACAGGGAGGGGAGGTCAGAAATCACCCCCAAGAGGAGATGACCACGGCTCAGTCCCTTCTCCTCTGTTCTCCTCTAGGAATTCTGGGCACGCATGGCTGGCATGATTTTCAGTCTGGGACTGAACTGCATAGTCAGCCCGTGGGATCCCACCTCCTCACCTGCCTGGCCCATGGTCAATTTTTTTTTTTTTTTTTTTACAAATCCTCATGCAGTTACACATCAATCTTGCCATCTTTGGGGGCTAAGGATCCGCATACCTGTTAGCTGTAGCCCACATGACGGGATTCCCAGACACAGCTACTGTACTGCCTTCCCATTCACACGAGCAGTTTCAGGGTCCCAGGAAAACCTGCTCCTGAGGCTCGAGCCCAGCCCACCTGTGTGCCTGACCGCCGTGGAACGTCAGCACTGGCATCGGCCGTGTTTGTCCCTCTTGTCACACCCATATGCTCAGGGTTTAGTCAGCTACAGTTGGGACTGTTACCCCTCAGTTGTTGGTTTTAAGATGTTTCTCTTGGACCAGCAGTTGGTGTAATGGCTGTGTCACTGGACTCCCATGTAGTCGATCACGGTTCGAGTCCTGGACCCAGTGGCTTAAATTCATGCTGGGCTCGTGTGTGTGTGTGCCCAAGATCCCGAGAGGAGAATGGAGGAGAAGGGGTTGCGGTGTGGCCATCCCCCCTGGGGGGTGATTTCTCACTTTCTGTCTCTCTGTCTCTCTAGTGAGCACACACGCCCTATAGCAGAAACCTCTTCCCCCGCCCCCGAAAAAGAAAAGAAGCTTCTCTTTATGTATGCTGGTGTGTGAGCATACGCACTGAGGGCTAGTGTTCTCTGCAGGGTCTGGCCGTGTCGTGATCCTGGTCCAGCACACCTGAGCATGTGCCCAGGTGTACCAGCTGCCGGGCAGGGGTCTGGCTCTCTGGAGCCGCATGTCACCATGCACAGGGGCCTGGCCACCTTGCCCGCTCTTTCAGTCCGTGTGTGGAACACTGTGTTTATTTTTCTTTCATTTATTTGCTCATGTGTTTTTCCCCCAGCAGTCTGGCCGGGAGGACTAGCCCTGCTCCGCCTTACTGGACCGGTCCTTGCTCCTCACCCCGGTTTCTGTCCAGTAAGCAGTGACTGTCAGCGGGTGTTTGATGTGCAGACCAGTGTCTGAGTTTACCGAGAGGGCCACAGAACTCAGGGGTCCTGAGAAAAACAACTGTGTGTCAAACCTAGAGGTTCTCTAACTGCGATCGAAGACCTCTTGAGGGATCTGTGACGCAGTTTCCATAGCGCTATAAGGTGCCATCTGGAGCCTTACCTTTTCTTTTGAAGCACAGAGGAATCCCCGGAGGCTGATGGCCCATGGCAGTGTCCTGGCTCTGACGGCCAGTAGTTACTGATGCTTTTCAGTTTCAATTTCTTTCTTTTTTTGTTTTTGTTTTGTTTTGTTTTGCCATAGGGCATGTGCACTGCTGTGGGGGGGGGGGGAGAAATCCCCCACCCTTCTCCCTTCTCCTTCTGGGATTTTGGGCACATGTGCACACACACACAGTGTGATTTTCAAGCCACCAGGTCGCCATGTGGGAGTCCAACACTTTAACTGCCACGCCACCTGATGGCCCCAGTTTAATCTCCGGTGTACTAGATACAGCCCACATAGCAATGTCCCTTGGGTTTCTCAATATTGACAGTAAAGCCCTCAGACCAAAAGTTTGAGAACCACTGACCTACAACAAAAAATAATTTTAATAAAAATTAGAAAGCCTGAGCCTTTCAGGTAGTTAATTGTCCACTTACTTGGAAACCTAGAAGTTATGTGACCATCTCCGAAATTACTTTTTTAATTTTTTTTTTTTGGAGAGGTTTTTGCTATAGGGTTTGTGCATTCACCAGAAAGCGAGAAATCACTCCCCCCCGGGGGGTGGCCATGCCGCAATCCCTTCTCCTCCATTCTCCTCTCAGGACCTTGGGCACGCGTGCACACGCGCCTGGCATGAGTTTTAAGCCACTGGGTCTGGGACTCAAACCATGATCGACTATATGGGAGTCCAGCGATATAGCCATTACGCTAACTTCTGGTCCCCCAAAATGACGTTCTTACTAGACCACAGCTAAGTCACTGGGCAAACTCCAGGGTCATATCACAAAGCTCAGCCTAACTGAGCAAGCGGTGCCCATACTACGTTGTGTGTGGAATAATTTTCATAGCCAAAATATTTAATAGTTATTTTATAAATAATTTAATCTTTTTTGCTTAAAGTTATTTAATTTTATTTGTTATTATCATTTTTTAAAATTTGACCAGGAAGAAAAAGGGAAAGTGAAAAAGAAAGCCATCAGGTCTGGGACTTGAACCGTGATCAGCCATGTGGGAGTCCAGCACCTTAACCACTACACCACCTGCTGGCCCCAATAACTTAATCTTTTTAATGTCCATGTAAATCTCTGTTCTCTATACAATATGTTTGAGTTTTCATCTTGATTTTTTTGGGGAAAAATTTTGTGGCTACTAACCATAGTTGTGCTCTCTTGAAAAAATTAAAGTAGAAAATGTGTTGTAATTCAGGGATAGTACTCAAGTATGCTTTGCTTTACAAATTGATTACTACCGGGGCCAGCAGATGGCACAGTGATGAAGGTGCCAGACCCTCACCTGGCCAACCACAGTTTGAGACCAGGGCTCAGCGGCTTAAAAATTCACACCCGGTGCTGTGCCTATGTGCCTGAAATCCCAAGAGGAGAAGGGACTGTGCTATGGGTCCTCCCTTGGGGATGATTTCTCACATTCCCTCCTATCTCTCCTAGCAAGCTTATGTGCCCTATGACAAAAAAAAAAAAAAAATTGTAAGATTATTTTTTAGAAGATAATTCATCTTCCTATGACACCAGGGGTCTACAAGATTACTTTCTGACACGATTTGCTACAAAGATTCATAAAACTCAGAAAAGCTGCTCTACCCATAGTTGTAGTTTATTACAGTGAAGGGTACAGATTGAAAATAGCAATAATAGATGCAGCTCAGGCTCCCATGCTGGGCACGTGCAGGCGTGTGCCCATAACCTCGAGAGAATGGAGGAGAAGGGTGATGTGCCTTAGCTCTGGGGCGACTTCTCTCCTCTCTGTCTCTCTCTGGGCACCTTTAGGATGCACACACCCCACAGCAAAAACTGGGAACGTGGAAAGGGCAACAACAGAAGCTGCACAGAGTGGCGTCCAGGAGAGGCCATGTGCAAGCTTCTAGCCGTCTCTCCCTGTGGGACTGGGACAGACACACAGCAATGAGCAGGTTGCGTTTCCCGCCAGAAAAGCTTACCTGAGCCCCACAGGCTTGGAGGGTCTCCACGCGGCCTTAGCTACCTGGTCTCTAGCCCTTCTGGAGGTCAGACTGACGCAGTGGCCCAGGTGAAGACCACGCCTTCCCCGTAAGTTACAGTTAAACATCGGGTATCACACAGGGCCCCGAGCCAGTACACAAAGATGCTCTTGGGCCAGCCCGTTGCCTGGTGCCCACGTGAGCCACATCCCACATGGCCGACTGCACAGCTGAAGTCCTAGAAAAGCACGCTGGGTACAGAGGTGTGCATGCCGCAGTCTTGGCAGCAGGGGAGGTGAGGAGACTGTGGACGATCATTCCCCATGGGGGAGCTTCCTCACCTTTCCTCTCTGTCTTTCTCTGGTAAGTGCACGTACCCCCTGGTAAAAAAAGAAAGAAAACTATAATCTGGCAGGAAATCTTGGCCTCTCTGGGTGCCGTTGGGATCCGATCCAGGACCAGTGGTGTGTGTGGCGTGTGCAGGAAGCACCCCAAGGCTGCCCGCTAAGCTAATGCTTTACTGCATAAGACACTGACTGCCCTGGCCTGGCTGTGACTCTTACAGCAAAACCACCCCATGTACCTGACCTTGTCTGGTAGTCTACGTGACGGCTGCACCTGCCTGGCCTTGGGAACCCGTGTCTCGGTGTGAGATCCTTGACATTGGTGTTACTGTATGACTTACCTCCCTGGAGTCACTGCATCTTACCAACATGGCCGTGGCATGCATGTCACAGTGTGCTCACAGCGTGACCCAGTGTCACCACGGGACACCCCATTAACAATCACTGATGTCCTGTGCCTCCCTGGCAGAAGCAGCCTCGTCGCTGCACCAGACACTGCTGTGAGCCGTGCTAGCACAGCTGGCCACCGCTTGGTCATGTCTGGGCCGCAGTCAGGGAGACACAGCCAGTCACCCCATCTCCGTGCATAGGTTCACACGAGACTGCCCGCGTCCGTGTGCTTGCTGTGTCATAGCAGCCCGCCTCTACCCCCTGGGCATGAGCAGTGGTGGCTAGCCCTGTCTACCAGCCATCCTAGGCGAGGGCAGTCCTGGTGCTCCGAGGTAAGTTACGAGCGCGTCTAGAGAACTCGCAGGGGTTTGAGGTCCATGCGATTCTCATAGGTGTGCCCCTTGAGCCTCAGCCACTGCGGGACCCCTGCCCCGGTCCTTTCAACCTCTGTCCACATGAAGATGGTCGGGAAACCCTGCCGAGTGGTGCTGCCACCCTTTGCTAGGTGGGTTTCAGTTACCTGTCACCATGTCAGTGTGCCGGCCACCTCACTGTGCCTTCTTATCTTCCAGGCTGGCCTTTGCCACCTCTCTTCTGGAATAAAACTCCCTCTAATTTGCTAATTCCAGTTAATAACGATCTTCCCTCCAAATGCCACTTTCTCATTCAAAGCGAAATCAGGGCCAGCATGGTAGTTAAGGCAGCTGGGTCCCACGTGGCCCACCCTCAGTTTAAATCTGGACACTGGCCTGAGTGCCCAAAACCCTGAAAGGGAAAAGACTGTAGCATCATTCTCTACGGGGAGTGTTTTATCACCAGCAACCCTTCCCCAGAGAGCACATGCCCATTCAGTTTGCCCCATGCACCTAGACGAGCGTGCATCTCCCTAAAGCCCTTCCTGTCGGGGCCACTGTATTACCACTGCACGTCATCCTTTGTGTTCAAAGTGGCCTGAGTGCAGGCTTGATGTGTGTTCTGTACCCCAAATGCTGGGCCTCCCATCCTAGGGCTACATGAGCAGTGAGTGGGCCTCTGTGGGGTGCGTGTGAGAACCCGTGGGCCTCATGGGGCCTTTACTGTCTCAGGGCAGGGTGCTGCCCAGAGCAGGGGAGACCAGACCACGAAGCTGACAATTCTGAACAGCTTCCTGAATTAATCTGTATTTCAGAGACCACCCTTTGCTGAAGTTGAAGAACATCATCCTGACGCCTCACATTGGAAGTGCGACCCACCAAGCCAGACGACGGATGATGGAAAGCTTGGTTGAGGGCATCCTGGCTTCTCTCAGTGGCCTTCCTGTTCCCAATGAAGTGCTTGCCTGAGTGATCTGTATGGACTGAATTCAGAGGGATGAAAGCGGCAGACTAAATGGGGAAAAAGGGACATTTTCTATACTTTGTACATGTTAGACCCACCATATAGACTTGTTTATTATGATTCTATTATGATTCTGGCTGGAAAGCCTTGAAAACAGGAGGAGGAGGAGTGACGGCCAGGACCGGGCCAGGACCGGGCCAGGACCGTCCGAGGCTCTATGCCCCCATCTGCCCACTCCTTCCTGACAGCGCTCAGGTGAAGTCTGCTGTTATCATTCATAATGAAACAGCACAGGTACTATCCAGTCTTAGACTGAATTTTGTTTAAAACCTTGGGCTTGGTTTGAATTTGAATTAAAACCCTGAGTTGTGGGCCAGCAGGTGGTATGAAAGGGCTGGATTCCCACATGCCTCACTGTATTTGGAGTCCCAGACTGGGCAGCTCAAAATCACAAGTGAATGAGTGAATGGATGTTTAAAAGAAAGCCCTGAGCTAGGCCTGAGAGTTTCCTACTGGACTGTTACTTTCCATCCAACCCGTTAAATTCTGATAGCTTCTTGGGTTGCATATTCTGCCTAATACCATAACGCTATCCATTCTTTTTTCTCCGTCGTCCAACAAATAATTTTTGAGAACCATCGATGCAGTCTTGTTCCAGGAGCTAGGGCTGCCATAGAAAACGCAATCTTTGCTTTGGGGCTTATTTTCTAAAGGGAGCAGCAGTCAAAACAGTGGCGTGGTCGTTAAAGGCGCTGGACTCCCACATGGCCCACTGCGGTTTGAAGCCTGGACCTGGCGGCTTGCTTTCTCGCTTTTCCTCCCCACCGCTCTCTTCTGGTCAAACTGAATAATAATAATAATAAAGTTAAATAAAATATTACAAGAAACCCCGGTAGATCAGCCTTTGCCAGCAGGAGGCAGGAGCAGGGAGAGCACGGAGCATGGACGGCAGGGTCGGCTTGCAGGATTCTCGGGTGGGGAGGATTACCGGCTGGGAATGACCACCTCTCCTTTGGAGCGGTTTCGAGCCTTGTCCTTTCCAGGAGGGAGCGCCCCGCACGGAGGACGCCCCGCACTGCGCTTGGCCTGTGTGGTGTGCGGGCACACTTCCGTGCGGGTTTCCTGGATCCAAATGAATTGCGCTCCAATTCTTCACTTTCGGGCGCCTGGCTGTTAGTGCGCGTCCCCCGTCAAGTTCTCCCGCGACATCTGCCGCCCGGCAGGCCTCGGGTGGGGCCTCCGGGCCACTGGACCCTGACGGACGCCTGGCGGCCCGCACCCCGCCTGCCTGCCTGGCTCCGCCCCTGGCTCTGCTGACTCCACGCCCCGGCCCCGCCCACCTGCACGCTGGCCCCGCCTTCCGGTCCGCCCCTCAGACTCCGCGCCCTGGTCCCGCCCCGTTCTCACGTCGCCCTGACCCCGCCCCGGGTATACATCGCCTCAGCTCCGGCCCACGTGGCCCGTCTCCCGCCCTGGTCCCGCTCCTAGTCCCGCCCCCGGCTCCGCCCCATCTGGCCCCGCTCCGGGTGTGCGTCGTCTCACCTCCGGTCCACGTGACCCGTCTCCTCTCCTGGTCTCGCATCTGCACGGCCGCCCAGCTCGGCGTCCGGTAGGCTCCCGGCTCGCCTGGCCGGCCTGACAGCATGGGCCTCCGGGCGCCCGCCTGCTGGCTGTGGGGCCACCGGGCGGTCCTCGGCGGTGCCGTGCTCGTTGCTTGCGGCGCGCGAGGCCTGCACGGCTCCGCGGTGTCCTCAGGAGCCTGCTCAAGAAGTTTGCAGCGAAGACCAGGTGGGGCCCGGGCGCGCCTGCGGGGGCAGCGTGGGTGTGGGAGGACGGGTCCACGGGGTCCTCGGGATGCGGGAGGGTTCGATGTCCACGGGGGCGGTCTTGGGGCGGGAAAGGGGTCCTGGGGCGGGGTAGGGGTCCGGTATCCATGGGGTGTCCTCTGGCGTGGGGGATCAGTGTCCACGCGAGAGCAAGGGAGGGTCCGGTGTCCACACGGGGTCCTCGAGGCTGACGGGTCGCCAGAGGTCCCAGTGCGCGCACACCCCGCCTTCTCTGGTCTCAGCGGGGGCGACGCCACGTTAGCCAGGTAAGAAGGAAGAAAAGCGAAGCGACAAACATGTTCACTTTGATTCTCGTAGCGGAAGCTCTCAGGGGGCCAGTCCCCAGATAAACAGCAGGGCGAGGGGGAAAAGGAGGCCTTTTCTCTGGCCCCTCTTGGGGAGTAGCGCTTGTCAGGATGATTGGGTTTGCAGTGCCGGCCACGAACACCCCGGGAGCCAGGGAACCCCTAGGGTGGGCCACCTGGCATGCTGTGTCACCGGGTTCAGGACCGGAAGCTGGGAAGGTGGCGGGAGCCCCAGACCAGCCTGGGGCTCAACCATGACCCCAGCCCACCGCGGTCCCTGTCCCTGCCGAGAACAGGGTGCAGTTGGAAGAGTGTTGGGCAGTGTCTTTACGCTGCCCTCTGCTGGACCTAGCCCAGAGGACCAGGTCTGGGTTGCAGAGCCCAAGTGGAACGTGTGCTTGCTTTTTTTTTTTTTTTTTTTCTGGAGAGGTTTTTGCTATAGGATGCAGGCGCCCTTCAGAGAGACAGAGAGATAGAAAGCGAGAAATCACCCCCCAGGGGGGATGGCCACACCGCAGTGCCTTCTCCTCCATTCTCCTCTCGGGATCTTGGGCATGCACGCACGTAAGTCCGGCATGAGTTTAAACCGCCAGGTCCAGGACTCCAACAGCTGCCCGGCCGACTACTGTGGGAGCCCAGCGACATAGCCTTTATGCTAACTGCTGGTCCCTGTGCTTGCTTTCTTTAGAGAGATTTTTGCTATAGGATACGTGTGCTTGCCAGAGACCGAGTGAGTGAGAAGTCACCCCCAGGCCACCCTGGGTGTCCGTGGAAGTGGCTCTCAGCCCGAGGTGGTGCTCACAGGCAGGCTGGCACACAGGAGCCTGGCTCTGGTGGGGGCGGAGGTCGGATTTAACTAAAAGCAGGCGGTTAGGGTCCCTCCCCTCCCCTACAGACTGCGTGGTGTAAGTAAAAGACTGTCTAGACCCCACCGGCAGCCCCCCGCGCAGCCATGCTAGCCCAGCCTCTTTTTTTTTTCTTTTTTATAGTTCTTTTTTAAGAGTTATTTATTTAACTTTATTTATTTATTAATTTATCTTAATTTGACCAGAGAAAGACACAGAGAGAGAGGGAAGTCCAGAGAGAAAGCTACCAAGTCGGGGCTCGAACTGCGGCCGGCCCTGTGCCCTCACCAGCATGCCACTGGCCGGCCCCAGCAAGCCCTCAGGGCAGCTTGTGCAGCGCCGTAAGGTGCCGTCAGTCCTGCCCAATGTTGCTTTTTGTCCCTGTAGAAAGAAGTTTTGGTATGAAGGTCCGTCCCTGGGATCTTACTTGGTGAGTGGAGTCACCGCTGTGGACCAGCTTCACCCTGTGGGGATGCCTGGCTCGGGCAGACGGGACAGTGTGCACACGTGGGGGAGAGCAGCGGCCGCCTAGAGCACCCGATCTCGCGGTGTGGTGCCCACTGAGTTGCTAGTACAGGCCGAGCAGCGACCCGTGGACAGCGGCCGTCAGGAGCACACACGCACTACACTGTCACGGGGGCCAGGCGTGGAGCCCCTGCTCTGCAGGGCTGTGTGTGGTCGCTTCTCAGTAGCCCCTCAGAAGGTACACTGGCAGCACTTGGGGGCCTGGGGAGGCCAGGCACGGTCCAGGGTGGGTTGTGACCCCGGCCTGGCCAGAGGGATGGCCAAGATGCTGGTGTGCCCGCCTGGGTGCTTGCCGTGCCTGGTCTGTGTGGTAGGGAGCGCGTGTGGGACTGACGCACCCACAGCCTGTGTTCTCCCTGCGGAGGCTGGCAAGCCGTCAAAGTCGGAGGCCTTCGTGAAGGCCCCTAGGAAGACCAGGCGGGAGGACCACGTGCGCCTGTGGGCCCTGAACGGCCTTCTGCACAAAGCCCTGGCCGATCTGCTGTGCACCCCCGAAGTGAGCCCGGAAGTCTGTGACCTCAGCGTGGAGCTCTCGAAGGTATGCGGGGGTCTAGAACCGCCAGCCTGGCCTGCCAGTTAGAAGGAAGCCCTTGTCACTTCTGAGGCCTTGGTTAGGGCTGCAGAAGTGACACCATGTCTGTCCCAGAGGGCCAAGGACAGGCGGAGGGGTCTGGGAGTGGCCCATAAGCAGACGGTGTCACTGCATACTGCAGGGCCTTGGGACACACTTCAGGCAGTGTGACGGAGGCCCCCGAGGGAGGCTGGGTGCAGTGGGACAGACCCCTTCAGCCCATGTCCCGATGTGGAGAAGGGTGGCCCCTCTGGCCCACTGGGGTGAGTTTAGCCAAAGAGACACCCAGGAGGATTGGGGCGGTCACCCATGAGGATTGGGGCACTTTGGACACGCTCTCCAGAGCAGGGGACATGAAGCAGTGTCCGGGCGGGTGGCCCAGCGGGTGCCGGTGGGGCCTGGGGGAGGGGGAAGGCACCGCACCCGTGAGCATGCAGCTGTAGTGGGCCCCAGAGCAGGGGTCCAGGGCCCTGGGAGGCTAGGGAGGTGGTGGGATGTGCGAGCGGCCGGCACCCTCCCTGACGCTGTCCCTTAGGAAAGCTGTGTGCCCGGGACAGTGACGAGCGGGTGGGGTGGTGGCTCCTAGGTCTCCCTGAGTCCAGACTTCTCCGCCTGCCGCGTGTACTGGAGAACGAGCCTCTCCGCGGAGCAGAACGCACGCACACAGGCGGCCCTGCAGAGGAGTGCCCCGCACCTGAGGTGAGACCACTGTTGCCCCTGCCTGCTCACTTGCTGACGCCTCACGTTCCCACGTGCCCCCCGTTGGTGGAGCTGGGTCTCTCAGGAAGTAGCTTTGCTGCGGACTCAGAGCGGCAGAGTGGTGCACGCCTTGAGAGACTCGTAGTCTAAATAAATTCAGCAAAGGAGGGCTGGGGGTTCAAGAGAACGCGAGCAGCCTCCTCTTGTATTTGTTGTTTGAAGATCAGATCACAAACACTGTCAGACTTAGACGTAAGTAGGGATCTCTTCCTGGTAAGCTCTATCATACATATTTATGATGAAGAATTGTTTTTTTGTTTTGTTTTGTTTTGAGAGGTTTTTGCTATAGGGCGTGTGCACTCGCCAGAAAGACAGACAGAGACAGAAAGCAAGAAATCACCCCCTGGGGGGTGGCCACACCACAGTCCCTTCTCCTCCATTCTCCTCTCGGGATCTTGGGCACGCATGCACATGCGCCCGGCGTGAGTTTAAGCCACCGAGTCCGGGACTCAAACCGCAGTCGGCTACATGGGAGTCCAGTGACATAGCCATTACACCAACTGCTGGTCCCAGGATTTCTTTTTTTTCTTTTGAGAGATATTTTTGCTTTAGGGCCGTAGAAATAGACAGGAACAGAGAGACAACAAGCAAGAAATCACCCCCGAGGGGGATGGCCATGCCTCAGTCCTTTCTCCTCCATTCTCCTCTTGGGATTTTGGATACACACACACACACACACAAACCCGGGGTGAGTTTTAAGCCATCGGGTCCAGGACTCGCACTGCGGTCGACTGCGTGGAAGTCCAATGACGTAACCATCACACCATCTGCTGGTCCCTGTGATGGAGAATTCTGTAAATATACAGTGGACAGGAGAGGATAAACATACAGATAGCAGAATTTCCCCAAGCAAGACTGTCTTTAAGAAGGGAGTTAAAGGTGTACTTGGAAGCACAGTGCAGCATGCAAGAGTTATGATGTAGTCTCACAGGGCGACCCCGTGACTCGGCCTGCTCTGGGAAACAGGTCCTGAGACCGGAGCCTCCTGTGCTTGAGGCCCCCACGTGCCGGGTCACTCAGGGTGGTCTTTAACTCTTGCTGGTTTTTTTTT